ACAAATCACAGAATCAGACAGAGACCATGCAAATAAACAATAGCAAAGTGGGAACTATAATGACAAAACCGTAGAAGTGAGGATTTCACATCCCAGCTGTTGATAAGTGAGTTCTTGCCAGACAGGATGCTATCAAACTAAGACAGGTTTCAGAGGAACAGCCGTGTTAGTCTGTATTCGCAAAAAGAAAAGGAGTACTTGTGGCACCTTAGAGACTAACCAATTTATTTGAGCATGAGCTTTCGTGAGCTACAGCTCACTTCATCAGATGTTTACCGTGGAAACTGCAGCAGACTTTATATACACACAGAGAATATGAAACAATACCTCCTCCCACCCCACTGTCCTGCTGGTAATAGCTTATCTAAAAGAAAAGGAGTACTTGTGGCACCTTAGAGACTAACCAATTTATTTGAGCATGAGCTTTCGTGAGCTACAGCTCACTTCATCAGATGTATACCGTGGAAACTGCAGCAGATTGTAATGGATTTTTTACCTTCAGTCCTTTTGGTACGATGTCCATCTGTTATCTAAAGTGATCAACAGGTGGGCCATTTCCAGCACAAATCCAGGTTTTCTCACCCTCCACCCCCCCACACAAATTCACTCTCCTGCTGGTGCTAGCCCATCCAAAGTGACAACTCTTTACATAATCAAGTCGGGCTATTTCCTGCATAGATCCAGGTTTTCTCACATCCCCCCCACCCCCATACACACACAAACTCACTCTCCTGCTGGTAATAGCTCATCTAAACTGACCACTCTCCAAGTTTAAATCCAAGTTAAACCAGAACATCTGGGGGGGGGGGGTAGGAAAAAACAAGAGGAAACAGGCTACCTTGCATAATGACTTAGCCACTCCCAGTCTCTATTTAAGCCTAAATTAATAGTATCCAATTTGCAAATGAATTCCAATTCAGCAGTTTCTCGCTGGAGTCTGGATTTGAAGTTTTTTTGTTTTAAGATAGCGACCTTCATGTCTGTGATTGCGTGACCAGAGAGATTGAAGTGTTCTCCGACTGGTTTATGAATGTTATAATTCTTGACATCTGATTTGTGTCCATTTATTCTTTTACGTAGAGACTGTCCAGTTTGACCAATGTACATGGCAGAGGGACATTGCTGGCACATGATGGCATATATCACATTGGTGGATGTGCAGGTGAACGAGCCTCTGATAGGGGTTTTTTTGTTGGTTTTATGTGGCTGATGTTATTAGGCCCTGTGATGGTGTCCCCTGAATAGATATGTGGGCACAATTGGCAACGGGCTTTGTTGCAAGGATAAGTTCCTGGGTTAGTGGTTCTGTTGTGTGGTATGTGGTTGTTGGTGAGTATTTGCTTCAGGTTGCGGGGCTGTCTGTAGGCAAGGACTGGCCTGTCTCCCAAGACTTGTGAGAGTGTTGGGTCATCCTTTAGGATAGGTTGTAGATCCTTAATAATGCGTTGGAGGGGTTTTAGTTGGGGGCTGAAGGTGACCGCTAGCACTTCCCTTTCTCTGGAGGGGATAGGAATACAGTCCTCTCCTGATAATGCCTAACAGCCCAATAACACCTTATTTCTATGTGACTAGTTTGGAATGTGAGGAGGTGACCGGTCGCTTCCCAGCTTAAGGCTGCCTCTGCTGCTTAGCCAAAGGCCTTATACAGTCAGACAGTGACTTTGATTCTCTCTTTTATATCTCTATAACTAGCTAAGTGATAAGAATACACCTAAATTAGAGTATAGGCCTTTACAGACAGGCCTGAATATCTATATCTTAACATATGGTTGACTGGTCAGTTCATAACTGAAGTTCTACAAGAATGCCTCTTCCCTAGTAAAAAGGAAAGGAGTACTTGTGGCACCTTAGAGACTAACCAATTTATTTGAGCATGAGCTTTCGTGAGCTGAATGCATCCGATGAAGTGAGCTGTAGCTCACGAAAGCTCATGCTCAAATAAATTGGTTAGTCTCTAAGGTGCCACAAGTACTCCTTTTCTTTTTGCGAATACAGACTAACACGGCTGTTACTCTTCCCTAGTAAGAGCTGTGGAGATCCTGCCTCTGGAGTACAGGCAAGAGGGAAAGTCTGGTTAGTTCCATTGGTGCCTGTAAGAAATACACTAGGATTTCTCCTTAAAGAAGCTTAAAAAAAGAGTTCTGATCAGTTCTGCTGTGTTATGTAAACTAAGAACTATGACAGAATGCAAACAGGGACAGATTCTGGCCAACATCACACCTCAGTAAATCCAGCATAACTTAGTTATTTCACTGGAACTAATATGCATTTACACAGCTGTAATGGATCAGATTCTGACTCATAGGGAATAGATATGTACAGTTAAATGGTATATTATACAATTACTTGTCTGATCACAAGGACATCTGAATGCTTTTCTATTGTTATTATTAGCAAAATATCTTAATTTTAAAGAACTTAAATATCCTAGAAGTTGCATTGCTTGGTTTGAGCAACATTTACATTTAGTGACGTAAAAGGGGATTTTAGACAGCACCTTTGTTCCTGATGAAGGAAGGAAAAGTTTTTTGTTTTTAACAGGAAGGTGCTAGCCCTTATGCCTAAGATTTGTGTGTGGAGAGGAAATGGGGGAAGGGGAGGAACTGAGCAGGAATAATTTAAGAACTGTGCAGGATCCTAAATGAATTTTCTGCTTTAAGCCAAGCCCTGGAGCGTTTACTCTGGGCCTGTAGCTGTATTAACTTTCCTCTGGTAGGGGGATAACACACACGTCCTGCCCCCCAGCCCTCCGTTCCCTCTTACTTTCCCTGCCATTTCCCCTACTCCCCACTCACACTGACTCCCAGGTCCTCAGATATCTTTGCAGGGTCCCTGGGAAAGGGGTACTGTGTCACAGAAGTGGATGAGCCCTGCTTTGTAGTGTGGGTCTCCTCATGTACACAAATGTCTCCCTGTGAGGGTACAAACTGACCTTTACAGAGGCAAAATACCTACTTGTGTCATTAGGGAGTCTTGAGAGAGTGAGGTTTTCAAGATTTGGCCCTTTGAATACAAGACCCATAATAGGGGCATCAGCTACTACAATTAGTAATGTTATAAATTAACACAATTTGTTAGCAAAACCTATTTTAAGTGGGTTTATATTCCCATTTTTCTTCTTCTGTCATAAATATAAAGGGAAGGCTAACCACTTTTAAATCCCTCCTGGCCAGAGGAAAAAACCCTTTCACCTGTAAAGGGTTAAGAAGCTAAAGATAACATTGCTGGCACCTGACCAAAATGACCAATGAGGAGACAAGATACTTTCAAAGCCGGGGGACAAAGGGTTCTCTCTGTTTGTGTGTTGCTTTTGCCAGGACTAGAGCAGGAATGCAGGTCAGAACTCTTGTAATAGGGCTAATAAGCAATCTAGTTAGATATGCGTTAGATTCTGTTTTGTTTAAATGGCTGATAAAATAGCTGTGCTGAATGGAACGTATATTCCTGTTTTTGTGTCTTTTTGTGACTTAAGGTTTTGCCTAGAGGGATTGTCTATGTTTTGAATCTGGTTACCCTGCAAGGTGTTTACCATCCTGATTTTACAGAGGTGATTCTTTTACTTTTTCTTCAATTAAAATTCTTCTAAGAACCTGATTGCTTTTTCATTGTTCTTAAGATCCAAGGGTTTGGGTCTGTGTTCACCTATATAAATTGGTGAGGATTTTTATCAAGCCTTCCCCAGGAAAGGGGCTGTAGGGTTTGGGAGAATTTGGGGGGGGGAAAATGTTTCCAAGTGGGCTCAAGCTCTCATGCAAAAAGCCCACTGTCTCTCTAACTTGAAACACCATGCAAGTTGCAGTAAGTTAAAGAATATCATAAGTACTCTGGAAGATACATATGAAAAACTGGGTCTAGGAATGTAGGCATCAGAGATGGAAGCTCTTTTGGGTTTATGTATTCCATCTTCCATGGGCCAGAGCAGAACAGTTTTCTACTACACACTTTTCAGGACTTTGCATGAGACATTTTAAAATTAGATTGGACAATGAGACCTCAGCCCCTTTCTTTGGGAGACAATTCCTCAGGTTACCAAAGTTGTTCCCCTCTCTCAATATAGAAAAATACTGAGCTTAAAATTTTCTTTTCTTCAGTTCAACCCTTTACTCCTGTTGTACCCCCCTTGAAGGACTCTGAATGGGTATCTCCTTGATTATTTTCACTCAATTCCTGTACACTGGTCTCCTACTCCCCCCTCCTTAGTTACCACTTAGCAATGTTACAGTTTTCTTAATAATACCTGGCTCTTACATAGCCTTTTACATCCATATATCTCAAAGTGCTCTACAAAGGAGGTAAGTAGCATTATCCTCGTTTTACAAATGAGGGTGCCGGACTAGATGGACTGCAGAGCTGATCCAGTTTGTCAATGTAATGGTAATGTGGTGCTCAGAACCAAATGTGTTGCTCTAGTTGAGGTTGCACTAGGGCTGTATAGAGAGGGGCCCAGAGGAACATAGGAATTGCCATACTGGATCAGCGCAGCAGTCCATCTTGTCCTGTATCTGACAGTGACCAGAACCAGATGCTTTATAGACTAACCTGAAAACTCTGCTGTAGAATAAGATGCCATTTACATAACTATTAGGTCTCATCTTGATCACTAAGGATGGGCTCAAGCTCTGAAGTACAAGACTCTTTACTCCCTGTCCACAATGGAAGGCTTAGACATATGCAGTCCCAACTTGCAATGTCTTGTTGTCGCTGTATCATATTTTAAACTCGGGTCTCACTTGCTGCTACTTCTTACTTCCCAGGCTACTCCCTCCCATTAAGGAGCTAGGGGTCAGGCTGTAGTTCCCCAGAAGGATTAGCTGCATTTTTTAGGCTAAATCATTTTATTTTCATACCTCTCTAGATGCACAGATATGATTGCCCTGCTATACCATAGGCTGAGTTCAGGCTGGATTTAGCACCATATCTCAGGATGACATTCTGTTTTTCCCTTCTCAGAGGCAGATGGGTGATTGGACAGCTGGTGTGCTGTTTCCTGTTCAGATGCCATGAATTCCAGAAAAACACTTTCAGAAACAAGGAGAGGATTCACTGTTGGTAAAGCTTATGCCACTGCACACTCATGGCAGCTCCCAGAGATCCTCATTGTGGATGTCAAGCCACCCTTTTGGACCAACACATGTTCTAAACTTTGTGAAGCCCTGGAAAACTTCTTCTGTCTAGCATGTAGTTTGGCAGGTCCCTGTCGCATCCCATTGCTGAGCCTATATGTGGTGCAGAACCAGCACGAGTGCCTCCTTCCCTTTGTGGTGAGTATGAAACAAGGGATTTATAGACTTAGGATTTTAAAGGCTGTAATGGATACATTCAATTTAGCATAAACAATTATGATTAATTAGAAGGTATATGTAAAGAAGTTAATCATCCTCTGAATCACTTTTTATGGGTTTCATCTTAAATGGATCTTAAAGGAGGGATTTGAAAGGACAGGGCATAGTTGCCAGATGAAGTTGGCTGCAGCAAGGGGTGGGTTCAATATCTAGGGCTCCTCTACTACACTGAGCCGGCCCAGTAATCTGGGAAAAGTTCACACCACCCCAGCGCCTCTAAGAGAGAATGCTTCCCCTCTCACAGGAACTGAGTCTGTCTATAACAAAAGAGAAGTTTTATTAAAAGGGAAAGGGAACCAAGTATTAGTTTGGGAAACCACCACAACCACATTACAAAAAACCCCATGCAGTCATAAGGCAAACACCCACACCAAAATACGTTGGGCAGTAGACTTAGCTTCTCACTTTGGGGCGTGAGCCTAACAAACAAATGTTCCCCTCTACTGCACCCCACTCCCAGTTGCTGTCCTTGGTCAGAGAAGGCCCAGAATTCAGGGGCATGTTCATGGGAGTTCACCTCCCACCCTAGAGGGACTGGGGGGTGGGGGGAAGGTGTTGAGCAGTGCCACAGTTGTAGCCTTTCACTCTTCATTGTTGCTGCACCATTGTTCGCTCCGTGGCCACTGGCCACAGTACCGATCACTCTCTCTGCCACCTCTTTAGGTCGCACCCCTTCACCAGTTGCTGAAATCACTGAGAGCGGGGTTAAAGACTGCAGTGAGGTAGCACTGAAACACCGCCCCACACTAGGCTTAGCACTTAGACCTGGTTATTGGTGATTTCAGCTCCAGCGATGACCTGAGAAAACAAATGACTCAATTGATTCTAATCAGCTCTGCCTTTAAACAGTGGAGCGGGGGAGAGTTAAATAGTGTCTAGGACTCTTAGAGCACACACCACCCCGTACAAATACCTGTCCCTACTTCTCTCCTTTTTCCACTGGGATTTGGCCTCTCTTCCCTGTTTAGTAAATTAAGGTTGTCCCCTCTATCAGGACAGACTAAGCCCGGTTCTGCTGCCCTTTACTAGTACAATAAGGATAACATTTCATTACTCCTCCATTGAATACTAATGTGATTTGTAACCCACCACCGGCCAATATCCATCACTTTGGCAACACAGTTCTGTCTGCTGAATACCTAGGTAGAGGAGGTGTGTTTGTGCAAATATGGTCTGGTTCTTAAGTCTTTTTTCCCCAGCTTATCACTAGATGTTGGGGAGGGCTCATTCAGACCCAGCCTACAAAGTTATTATATGTAAAAAAAAAAATCATACTCAATCACTTTTTATGGGTTTCATGGAAGAAGTGAATCTTGAGGGAATTTGGGAGAAGGCAGCAAAGTGGCTTGGAACCCCTGAGATGTGCATATGCCATAACCGAGTCCTCATGTAATTTTTCTACTGTAATCCTTATTCCCGTCTCCTGCTGACGGTTGAGTAATCCTACTCTGTGCATCACATCCAAAGTTTGATGGCAAGCCTATTGGGCTAGGGAATTTGCTTTAATTTGCTCCGTAGAGGACCAAGTCAGCCTCAGCACTGCTCTAAACTGTGCCAGCTAACAGTGCTCCCACAGCTAATCTGCCAGGGATCACCTGTAGAGCCTTGCAACCCAAAGGGCCCCAACTACAGGGGTCTGGTTCAGGTCAGGTCAGTAAACAACTTGAGTCTTTCAGGGTCAGGTAGGCCCTCATCACCTCCTTCTACCTGTGGGGCCAACACAGTAGTAGCTATGTGCCTTGCTCCCACTGGATGCTGCCACCTCACTGCATTCTGTGTGTGCACAGCATAGTGAGTGTGCAGACTCATCACAGCAGCTCTCACTCCACAGCGCACACAGTACAGCAAGGCTACAGCAGCCCAGAGTGGTTATGCAGCCATGCTGGCACAAACCCCATGGGCAGGAGGTGTCCAGAGATGGATCACAGCCAAGGGGTATAGGGAGTGGGAAGCCCCCACCAGGCCAAACCTCAAGAATGAGGCAGCAGCACTGAAACAGGTTCAGGGGGAAGGATCAAGTTTAGGTCGGGTCTGAAAACTACTTAACCCTTGTGGGTTTGGACAGAATTCTGGTCAGTTTGCTCTCAGGCTGGGTTTAGGTCCCCCTTTAAAATTAGGCCCAAGCTGACCACTAAGTGCAGCAATGCTCTGGCCACCCCTTTCTTCCAGCCATCCATCATATGAATCCTTACCTGTGTTAAGATCTTCCTCCAACTGCTCTCACTTTGACTATATAGCAATTCTTCATCTATGGCCTATGCAGACTTTAAAGAGAGAGTGGAACATTTGATCATCTAGTTTGACCTCTTGTATATCAGACAGTAACACTTCACCCAGTTACCTCTGTATTGAGACCCATAATTTGTGTTTGACTAAAGTACACAAGCCAGAAATGCATCCACTCTTGACTCAAAGACTTAGAGATAAAGAATCCATGACTTCTCTTGGTAGTTTGTTCCTATGGTTAATCACCTTCACTGTTAAATTCAAATTAGAAATAAGCCACAAATGTTTATCTGGCTTTAACTTCTAGCCATTGGTTCTTATGATGCTTCTGTTAAAATTAAAGAGAACTTTAGTGCCTGATATTGTCTCATGACAATATGTATATGCTGTAATCAAGTCACCTCACAATTGTCTTTTTGATAAGCTAAACATATTGAGTTCTTTCACTGAAGCATTTTTTTTAGCTCTCAAATAATTTGTTGCTTTTCTCTACATTCTCTCCAATTTTTCAACAAGCTCTTTAAAATGTTCACACCAGAACTGGATACCATGTTCCAGGATTGGTCTCACTAGTGCTGTATACAAAAGAAAAATTACCTTCCTACTCACTATGCCCATTTATACATGCAAGAATTGCATTAGCCTTTTTGACCAGCAGCTCCCCAGATTGCAGCATGTTCTGAATATCACTGTCAGTCTTTCCCATTACACCCCAAAGACCTCCACTGGAAGATATGCTGGAGGGTAAGGATAGGATACAGAGGGCCCCAGACAAATTAGAGGTTTGGGCCAAAAGCAATCTGATGAGGTTCAACAAGGACAAGTGCAGAGTCCTGCACTTAGGACAGAAGAATCCCATGCACCACTTCAGACTAGGGACCGAGTGGCTAGGCAGCAGTTCTGCAGAAAAGGACCTAGGGGTTACAGCAGACGAGAACCTGGATATGAGTCAGTGTGCCCTTGTTGCCAAGAAGGCTAATGGCATTTTGGGCTGTATAATTAGGGGCATTGCCAGCAGAGCGAGGGACGTGATCATTCCCCTCTACTCGACATTGGTGAGGCTTCATCTGGAGTACTGTGTCCAGTTTTGGGCCCCACACTACAAGAAGAAAATGATAAAAATTGGAAAGAGTCTAGCGGAGGGAAACAAAAAATGGTTAGGGAACTGAAACACAGGACTTATGAGAGGCTGAGGGAACTGGGATTGTTTAATCTGCAGGAGAGAAGAATGCGGGGGGATTGGATAGCTGCTTTCAAGTCCCCGAAAGGGGGTTCCAAAGAGGATGGATCTAGACTGTTCTCAGTGGTAGCAGATGACAGAATGAGGAATAATGGTCTCAAGTTGCAGTGGGGGAGGTTTAGGTTGGATATTAGGAAAAACTTTTTCACTAGGAGGGTGGTGAAGTACTGGAATGCATTACCTAGGGAGGTGGTGGAATCTCCTTCCTTAGAAGTTTTTAAGGTCAGGCTTGACAAAGCCCTGGCTGGGATGATTTAGTTGGGGATTGGTCCTGCTTTGAGCAGGGGGTTGGACTAGATGACCTCCTGAGGTCCCTTCCAACCCTGATATTCTATGATCTTTGTATCCATTTCAGAATACTGTTCAAAATTGCCCTCATTTTAAACCTCTCCATAGCTGTGCTCCAGCCTACTTGACAGTCCTGTTCTTCCTTTACTCACCTTTTCTTAGCCCTCTCTCTCCCTCCCTCCACCCAACTTTACCACTGTTGGTACAAGAACTTTCTTCTTTGCAGCTTCTGCCATCTGGAACAGTCTTCATCTCTCTCTGCTCATGAACTCTATTTTGAATTAAATCTCATCAAGAAGTTTCAGGGCTCCTCTCCCTTGCCTACACCCCTTAGTTTCTCTACTTGGTCTATAAAGTAGCTTTGATGGTCCATTTTGCTTCTTCTCCCACACATCTCTTACAAGTGGAACACTCTTCCTGAACTCATCCATGAGGCCACTACTCTCTCCTCTTCATATCCCCTTCTGCTATGCTGCCTCTTGGACTCTGGGGCACCAGGCCCCCAGAAGCACCAGGCTCCAGCCCACATGGTCAGAGGGCTACCAACTTCCACTCTTGGGTTGGCCCATAGGGCTTCTGCTCACCTTTAGAGGCAGGAGCAGTGGATCAGGGACACCTTAAAAGTCTCTGCCATCAGCAGCACTGTCACAGCACAAAGGAGAGAGGTACTGGGGTGCAACTGATGTGAGAGAGATGCAGGGAAGAGAGAACACACTACCTATATAACAGGGAGGGTAAACAATACACAACTGTCTGGATGGGCAGAATGGGAAAAGAGCACACTGAAATGACAGTGGCAGGTTGGCTGAGACACTGGGACAGGGCTCGAGTAAGATAGTTTAATTTCACTTCTGATTTTTCCTCAAAGTAAAACAAAACCAGACATGACCCTTTGACATTTTGCGTATCTGTCATCTGTCTATTATGGTTGGTCTGTCTGGTCTAGTTATATTACGAACTCCTCAGGGCAGAGACTGTGTGCTCTCATGTTTCTGTGCAGCACACTGGGACCCCAATCTCAACTGCAACCTTTGATGCTACCATAATATACATTACTACTGCTAAAATCTTGATAGGGTGCTACTGTAATACAGATACTAATTGTGGCTAAATTGAGGGGCAGTCAGTGATTACTCAATAAGGACTTAATTTAATAAAGTGCTCC